GCAGCCGTCATTGTTGTTTGGCGGGTCCGGGCTGGGGATTCGAATCCGCCACCTTAGGTGTACATGGCTGGCGCCTTAGCCAGTTGAGCTATAGGCGCTGAGCCAGTCTTGTTTGTTTGTTTTTTTTTTTTTTAACTTGGGTCTTGCCATATTGTCCAGGCTGGTCTCACGCTCAAACAGTCCTACTGCCTCAGCCTTTCAAGTAGCTGGGACTCCAGGCATGCACTACTGGAAGTCATTCTTGAGAATTACTTAAGTTTAACATGTTATGCAGCACAGTATTTAGTAGATGCAAACTGCCTTTTCTTATCTTCTGGAAGTAGGGGCTGGGCCAGGGGATTTTCAAAGCATACATACAGATAAAAGTTTATCCTTTTTAAGATATTTTTCTCATGTTAAAATTCATATGTACACTTTGAATTCATATTCTCATTTGCAGAGAGCACAGACCATGGCCTTTTTAAAATATAGCTAATCCCATAATGGTGACAGTAATTTAGCCTATGAAGAAAATAGCTAAAGTAGGTCTTCAAATTGAAATTGAAAATTACGATATAGGCTCGGTGCCTGTGGCTCAAGCGGCTAAGGTGCCAGCCACATACACCTAAGGTGGCGAGTTCGAATCCCCAGCCCGGGCCCGCCAAACAACAATGATGGCTGTAACCAAAAAATGGCCAGGCGCTGTGGCGGGCGCCTGTAAGTCCCAGCTACTTGGGATACTGAGGCAGGAGACGCGCTTGAGCCCAGGTGTTGGAGGTTGCTGTGAGCGTGATGCCATGGCACTCTACCCAGGGGGATAGCTTGAGGCTCCGTCTCAAAAAAAAAAAAAAGAAAATTACGATATAAAAGTATAATTGTTAACAAGTTTGTTTATTGTTCAAAGGATAGCAGCGCTTATTTTTTTTTAATTCTTCAGTCTTCAACCATGACTGGGAACTATATAATTTACATAAATGATAAATTGTTGAAAAGTTAAATACGGCTCGGCGTCTGTGGCTCAAGTGGCTAAGGCACCAGCCACATACACCTAAGGTGGCGGGTTTGAATCCAGCCCGGACCCGCCAAACAACAATGATGGCTGCAACCAAAAAATGGCCAGGCATTGTGGTGGGCACCTGTAGTCCCAGCTACTTGGGAGGCAGAGGCAGGAGACTCGCTTGAGCCCAGG